TAGCAGCTAAATACTGCCACTCCCAATTATACAACAATCATTTTTACATTGTTATCTATCTTTGAGAACATTTAGTAGGAAAAGTAAAGCTATAAATCTCAGAGCAGAAACAAGAGCATAAAAGAGACAAGCTAACTTTATGCAGCTCCAGGGGAGTTGGGGAAAGAATTCCCTGCATTTCCTCTTTGATCCGACGAGACTCCCACGTTCTCTCTGAAACTCTTAATGAAGCCTTGAGCTTGGGATCGTGGTGAAGAAGAGGGGACTGCGTCTCTTGGTGGATGTGGGCTCCATGAAGTAGGTGTGCCTCCTGGTCAAAATGGGTCTCCTCATGCATGTGGGAGTCTGAATAACATAAAAAAAAAGGTTTAAATGATTGTTTTTCAAACTGTCAGCTCAACCCATGTTGCCTCCGACCTTGGTGGATGAGGGCCTCTTCATGCAGATGGACATCTTCGTGCAAATGCACCCCAGGGTGGAATTGTGAATTCTGATGCATCAAATTTGCTTGACGAAGGAGTGAATTTCTTCGTAATGGACTCATCCTGCTGTGGCTCAGGAGGGGCTCAGCTGGAGGTTTGGTGGCACTGTCTACACCCAGAGTGATGGCGGTACCCGTCATGATAGAAGCCTGTACAACCAAATGTATGAATCCGTACGCACGTATAAATATCTCACCAAGACAAAAAAACAAACAAAACTTTATCCTTTTTACTCCTTAATAGTCAACCATTTTAATGTTCCAAATGTTAAACTTTTAAGCATATATTTTTTTATTTTAATAACATAATTAAAAAAAGATTTGTAGATTTGCAGGATTCTTCTATTTTTGTTGTTTATTTGTGACATGCGTCTAAGGATGCCAACGAACCTCTATCTCTCTGAGAAGTTCAGACTGGCCACAAGTCTCCAGGTCTTCCAGAGCCTGACACCAAAAGCTGTCATCCGGATCCACCAAAATACCGTCTGGTTGTTGGCCGATAAACCTGCTCAAGAGAGAAACAAGAAAGCAATAATTCGTCCTATTATTCAGCTTACATAGAGTGGAGGGGCGGCCTAGTGGTTAAGGCATGGAGCTTGGAATCCTGAGGTTGTGAGTTTGAAATCCACTCCCACAGACTGCCACTCTGGGTCTCTGAGCAAGACCCTTAATTCAATTCTATTCAGTTTATTTCTATAGCACGAATTCACAACACATATCATCTCAAGGCACTTTACAGTTAACCAGATCATCCAGTCAGATTGATTCAAAGTTTTCTATCTAAGGAAAACCAGTTGATTGCATCGACTTATTGACTCAAAGGCAGTCCCTCACACTAAGCATGCTTGTAGCGACAGTGGAGAGGAAAAACTCCCTTTTAACAGGAAGATACCTCCAGCAGAACCAGAGTCAGAGTTCAAGGAGACAGAAGCAGACATTGAATGAAGCAGAATGAACAAATAGGGGTCCCTATGTCTTCCAGCAGTCTAAGCCTATAGCATCATAACTATATAACCTGAGCCACTCTAACTATAAGCTTTATCAAAAATTCTAGTTTTAAGCCTAGCCTTAAAAGTAGGCTGGGTGTCTGCCTCATGGATTTAAACTGGTAGTTGGCCATTTAAGGATTTATATGTGAGAAGGAGGATTTTAAATGCAGAAAGCAATGAAGAGAAGCCAGGATAGGAGAGATATGATCTCTCTTTTTCATTTTCATCAGAACTCTGGCTGCAGCATTTTGGATCAGCTGAAGGCTTTTAACTACAGCGTGTGGACTTCCTGATAGTAAA